GGAGGTGCGAGGGCTGCTCATGGAGCTGCAGGGGGGGTTTGCACTCCTGGGAGCATCCCCCAAATGCTGCCATGGATAGGGGACCTGGAAGGACGGTGTGCTCTTCTGAGCGAGCCAACAGCTTGGGAAGGAGTCCCCATGGCCCATGCCACTGCCAAAGCCTCTGCAAGGGCTGCTGTGACCTCTCCCCGAGGTGTGGCCCCTCCCCAAGTGTCCCTGATGGAGGTGTTCGGGGATTACCAAGCACCAGGAGCCCCATGAGAGCTGCCAGAGGGGGAAAGGCCCTGACAGAGCCACCAGCTGGGACAAAGGACCTACAGCATGGATGATTGGAAAGGATTTTCTAGCTAAATTGCTGAGCAGATGGATTTACCCTGGACTGGTCCTTGTGGACTCTGGAACATTTTCTCTTCTGTCACAGTTCCTTTTTATGACCTGCCATTTGCTCCAGCAAGCGAGAAGTGAGCCCTTGGCACGCAGCTCCCGCTCCGGCTGCGGTTCAGGAATGCTGCGGCTGTGCTGCCGGGAGCCACGGCTCCTTTTCAGGAAAGTGCTGGGGCCTGGCAGGACACCCCTGCCCACTCTGGCTCCCCGGGCACGTGGGGGCTGGCAGGGGCCGGAGGGGTGGCAAGGGGCAGCAGCGGCTGAGGCAGAGGAGCTGGCAGGGCTGGCACGGGGCACGCTGTGCCAGAGATGCGGCCTTGGGTTTATAACAGATCATTGCAGTGACCACCTGCAGCAGCAGCAGGGCACGTTCAGCAAGGCTCCAGATGGAAGGCTGTGGTGCAGGGGAAGCGTGAAGCCACATCCTGGCTCGGCAGATCCCTCTGTGGTGGCAGCATGGGCAGAGGGACAGTGGTGACTCCGGGGGGGACTGGGTTTTCTCCTTGCTCCACCGTCAGCACTTCCATGAGGTGATTCCGTCATCAGCACTTCCGTATGGTAATTCCACCAGCTCTTTTGGCTTCTACTGTCCCAGCTGGTGACTGATATGTCTCTTTCTTAGAAGAAGGGGAAGGACAACACAATCTTCCACCCAAAGCCCTTCCTCCAGCAGCGTTCCTGCCATTTACATTAAAGGCTATAATGGGTTAGAGTAAATGGAGCAGGTTTGCAATTAGTTTTCCAAGTACTTATCTCATTAAAGTAAATGAATTATTGATTTAGTGACACTCATGCTTTTAGTGAGCAGCACAGTGCCATCCCTGCTCCCTTGCTGGCTCCCTGCAGCCGGTCCTTGCACGCCTGCTCCCGTGAGCACACATGTGTGAGCGCGTGGGCAGCGGGCGACAGCTCTGCCTGCTCCTTGGCTTGGGAGGCAGCACAGCCCCGCTGGGCAGGGGAGCTGGAACCTGCCTTTGTGAGGGACCCTGCTGAGCTGAGCCCGAGGGAGGGATGGGCTGGGGACCTGCTGCCTGAGGGCTACACCCTGCAATGCTGCTGGGGACATGCCAGCTGTGCCAGGACACCTCCTGCCAGCCCATCTGTGCTGTGCAGAGGATGACAAGGGAAGGAGGAAGGCAGCTCACCCACACCACCGGTGCTTGGCTTGCTCTGGGTCTGTTAGTGCAGCACAGGGCTGGCATGGGGCTGGCAGGCAGTGTGAGGAGCTGCATGTGGCTCCTTGGGCCATCCTGGCACTTGCAAGGGCGGGGAACAGCGTGTGGGGGTGCTCAGCACTGGCAGGGTCTGGCAGAGTGTGGCTGCAGGAGGATGAAGCACTGACAGGCTGTGCTGGAGCCAAGTGCTCATGGCTGAACCTGCCACCCCCAGCTAGCTGCTGATTCAGCGCTTTTGGGCTCCTCTGGACAGAGATTTAATCTCTCCTGTAAGATAAACCACTCCATTAATGGAAAGCTGCCTGCTTAGAGCTGCCCCTCACCGCTGTCCAGGCAGGAGGGGCTGCACTGTCCTGCTGGGGCTGTTGGCAGCACAGCCAGACACGCTCCCCGCAGCTCCCGTGCCCGAGGGGTGCCATGAGGGCTGTGCCAGGGATGCCAGTGGGGTGCCAGGGGTGCCAGGCTCCTCCAGCGGGTGCCCCTGGCTCACAGCAGGTTCCAGGAATGGCACTGGGAGCACTTTGATCTCCTGGCACTGGAAGCCCTTTGATCCCCTGGCCGGCAGGAAGGAGGTGGTGATGCCACAGGAGCCACACTCACGGGCTGGGAGGAGGTGCCAGTGGCCAGCAGGAATTGCAGGAAGGATTTTCAGTTCACAGCTGTTACTCAGGGGGGGTTGGTGGCCAGCGATGCTGGTGTGGTGTGGCAGTGCCACACTGTCACCTCTGCCCCCCGAGGACCCTGCACAGGAGCTGGTGCTCAGCCCCGTGCCAGGACCCTGCCGGGCCATGCACCCTGCCACCCAGCAGCCCATGTTGTCCCTGTCCCCGGGATGGGACTGCTCTTCCCAGACCTGAGCTGCTGCCTGGAGGGCTCTGCTGGGCAGTCCTAGAGCTGTCCTGCTGATGGCCCCTTTCTGCCCCACCAGGGCTCCTCTGGGCACTGCCCGAGCCTGTCATGCCTCAGCTCCTGCCCAACAGTGTGGAACAGCCCTGGCTTGGCCCTGGGCACAGCAGGATCATGGGGAAATGTGTCCTGAGAGCCACTGTGCAGGAGCCAGCCTCTGCCCCAGCCCCTGCATCTCCTGCCCCTGCCTCCAACGCTGCTGGGAACGGGATGTTTTATATTCCTTAGCTGGGAAAAAAAAAATCCCTTCTCATTTAATTAAAAATGTTGACATTGTGCCTGGCCATCCCACCCGCCAGAGAAGGTGGTTATAAATTAAACATTAAACCTTTAATGGCCCATAAAGAAATTTTCGCTGCTGTTCTGTATATGGGGATATAAATAGAGAGGGCTGTGGGGGGAGGGGTGGGACATTATTGTTCCTCAGCCAGATAATCTTTGCTAATGAATTTAATTAAAAGCAAAATTAATTTAGGATTTTTGGTGGAGGGAACGGGGCTTAAAATGTACTTTGAGAAACTACCAACAAGTTTCCCAGCAGATCAGAGCCAGGCCTGCCTCGGTTGCAGCGTGGGGATAGGGGGTGATGAGGTGCAGCTTTCATGGCATCTGTGCAGCTGGGTGGGTGACACGGGTTGATTTCTTGTGCAGACCCCCTGATTCTCACCCAGGTTTAGCTGGGCTGGGATCACTTGTTCTGGCAGCGAGTCCCATTGAGGCTGTGCGAGGTTCCAGGTAGAGTCAGTCAGCCTGGACTGCTGCCAAAAAAGCAGAAACTGGACCAAGATCCCCCCAGATCCTGCCCAGAGTTGCTCCTGCCTCTCTCCCACCAACGTTGTGCCAGGGGTTTCCCTCTCCCGCTGCAGACAGGGAGGCTCTGGCTGAGCCTCCCACTCCTGTGTGCCGGGACCACCAGAGGGGTCTGCCTGGGCTGGAGCTGGGCTTGGCGAGCCCCTGTCTGTGCCAGCAAGCGTGGCACATCCCAGCTGAGGCACATCCTGGCTGCGGGTCCCATGTTGCTGTGAGGAGCTTCTCAGAAGGCGCCTTTCTTGGGAAATGTGTTTGGGAAATGCGGCGTTACCCATCGCTGAGCCTCCCCCAGGAGCGCGCCGCCTCAATTATTCATGGCAGAGCAGGCAGACCGGGCTCCCAGCTCTCCCAGCTCTCCCAGCACTCCCAGCTCTCCCAGCTCTCCCAGCTCTCCCAGCCCTGCTGCTGGAGTGCTCTGGGCCTGCTGTGCCATCTCCTGCTGCCAGCCGGGATCCTGGTGGGCGCTTCCTTGGCGAAGCCGTGGCACAGCTCAGGAGCGGTGGCTGGGGTCTGCCAGGCCTGCAGGGGCAGGGCTGTCAGCACGCTGCTGGGAACCAGGGAGTCCCCAACCATCTTTTTTAGGACACCCACATCCCACAGCTGGGTCTGCCCTGTCCTGGTGGGAGGGGAGACCCCCAGCCTGGTGAACGCATGGCGCGGGGTGAAAGCGTTTGGAGGGTTTTTATCATAAAAGTGCTAATGGAAGTCAGCACCAGCCTAATGAGCTGTACTCCTCCATGAATCTGATTCATTGAGGCAGGAATTACCATAATTGATTATCCTGCTGCGCGGCTGAGAGCTGTGTTTGCTAACACCAGTGCCTGGGAACAGTCTCTGTGCTTCCTGAGCGGCCGGACCGTCCGTGGGGCGTGTGCTCCTGGCACCGCCATGAGCTCAGAGCAGCCTCCAGGCACGGGGTCCCTGCAGCCACCCTCGGGACCCTCATCTGGGGGTGCTGGCCCTGCAGTGGGGGCTGAGCTGTTGGGCAGGTGGGACTCAGCCCTTGCTGGCCTCCAAAGCAGCGGGTACAGGCATACACAGCCCCCCCCCCCCCCCCCCCCCCATTCTTTAGCCACTCTTGGGATGTATCAGCCATTCTCATTATTTCTGAGGGTCTAACATGATTGATGAATGTTTGCCTTGGCCACACTGCAAAAGCCAATTAGTTGAAGTGCAGCTTTCAGGAAGTTTTCTTTGAAATTTGGCTTAATTTCCAAGAAGTGCCCAGAGCCAGGAGAGCAGAGGAGCCACGTGCCGCAGGGGCTGCTCCTCACAGGAGCGTGTCACCGTGCTGCTGTGGGCAGAAGGCTTGTGATGCACCAACCCAGATGTGCAGCCAGCACTTGGATGGCAGCTGTGCCCTGTCCCACCCCGTGGGGGTGTGTGGGGCTGTGCTTGCAGGGGAGCCCAGGAAAGGACCCCTGGTCTGTGTGAGCTGGGTCGGGTTCGAGGTGCACTGGTGGAGCTGAAGGGGGGGATCCTGTGCCCATCACCCTGGGCATGTTACTGGTGGGTGCTGATGCTGCTTGGCTGCCCTGGGCTGAGCCCCTGGCCTGGCCACCAGCTCCTGACCAGCACAGGCTCCCTAGTGCCCAGGGAATGACACTCACATCCGTGCTCGTATCCCAGGACTGTGCAGTCGATGAGCAGACAGCACTGAGTGTAACAGGTTAGTGATGATGATCATTGATTTTAATTCTTCCTCCTCTTCCCTGTCTTTTCTAGAGAGCCCAGTGCAAGCGCCGCGGGAGGAGCTGGGCTGAATAAAAGGTACGGAGGGTTCGGATCCCAGTTCCTGCATTGGGCTCTGCCTTGGCTGCTTCCGGGTCCCTCCTGCATGCTGAACCTGCATGTGTGGGGCTGGCAGGGGGGCCAGAGCAGGCCAGCACCCTCAGCCTGTGGCTCAGGGATTGGGCAGGGGCTGGTGGGCACAGAGCCGTGCTCAGGGCAGGAATGGGAGGAAGGCTGCCCCCTCCCCTCTGCCAGCAGCCCCCTGCTCCCCCCGGTGTTGAGCCCCACGCAGGTGTGAGGTGAATCCTGCATGAGGAGAGCTGAGACTGACGTGCCTGTGAGTGTCCGTGTGTGCTGACCTGCGTCTGTCCATACTCTGCGGCCCCAGGAGCCTTCCCTGGAGGACCCAGGGTCCCTGTCCCTCCTGGGGGCAAAGAGCAGCCCACAGCCCCATTCTGTTGCAGTTGCCCACCCCAGGAGATGTTTGTCCCCGGGGTTCTGGGAGGTGTCACAACAGCTCCCAGTGTCCCCAGGCTGAGGCAGGGCATGGCTGATGTGAGTGGAAGGTGGACCAGAGTAGGTGCCCTCTGCCAGCCTGGTGCCCACTGGTCAGGTGTGGGTGGCTCCTTCCTGTCCTACCCTCACATTACTGGACTTTGCAGCAGTAGGAGGACCCCATCACAGAGGGGACATTGCATCCCCCCAGGGTCCATCCCACTGAGTACAGTGCTCCCCCGTGAAAGCCAGTGAAGCAGAGGGGCAAAGAAAGCTGAGGGGCTGCAGAGGATGAGTCTGGTGCATCCATAGCTCTGGGCCCTGGCATGGGCTGGGGGTGCCAGTGGGCCCAGGGGGTGATGGGGCCAGGGCAGTGGCACTGTGCTGCAGGAGCTGCCCCTTGCAAAGCTATGGAGAGGTGTCTGGCAGGGGAACACTCCCATCCTTGGCACGTACAGGACAAGGATGGAGGTGACCTGCTGGGAGAGTCCTGAGATCCCAAGGGAAATGTGGAAAAAGAGCTGCTAGGAGGAGCAGGAGGGCTGGGTGGGAGCAGGGCTTGCAGGGAGCCAGGATGAACCGGAGGAAGGCTGGGCTGTGCTGTGGGCCTGGAGACACTGGCCAGCTGCAGGGGGGGGCTGTGGGGCTGGGGCTGCCCCCACCCTGGGCTTGCTGATGTCTCAGTGCTTCCCTTGCTGTGCTCAGGAAGGGCTTTGTTCAGTGCCCTGCTGTGTGTGGGGTCAGAGGGCACAGCTCAGCCCTGGGCTGTGGCCACTGGCTGTGTCTGGAGGAGGGGAGGGCAGCGGGGTGGGTGTCCTGCAGCTCAGCTGCCCCGTGCCCGCTCTGGGTGGGACATTTGGGATCTGGCTCTGGGCTCCAGGCTCTGTTTGTGTGGGTGTGGGGGGCTGCAGTGGGAGAGGGTGGAAAGCTGATGGGAAGGGAGCTGGGGAGGTGCTTGTGCTGCTGGCCCTGCCCTGGCTCCAGGAGGGTTCTGAGCCCTGCCCAGGGACCCCTCAGGTGTTGTCTGCCGGTGATGGAGGGGTTTCATTCTGCTGTGCTGGGCCCCTCTGTCTGTCCCATACAGCAGGGCTGGGGGATCTGGCAGGCTGAGGGGACCCCAAGTCACAGCTGGAGCTGCCTTTACAGGATGCAGAGAGAGAGGAAAGGGTTTGGATCACAGAGATATAAGAGGGACCAGGGAGCCCCCCACCCCAGCTGCCTGCAGTGGTGCCTCTGCTGCTTTATCACCCTCTCCTGGTGCTGAATTATTGAGAGTGTTGCTCTCGTTTATTGCTGTGCTGGAGGAGAGCTGCCTCCAGCCTGGTGCTGCTCTGAATATGATTATGGGGCAAAGAACATCTGTAGATGTCAGAACCAGCTGGGCCCCGGAGACCAATCTGCTGCCCCCCTCACTCCTCTGCTTCCCTTATCCTTATTTATTCCCTCATACCACTCCTGGTTCAGCGCTCATGGTCCCCTCGCTCCTTCCACCGCATGTCCCTGGAGGACAGAGATTTAGTGCCCGAGGAGCAGCACTGCCCGGCTGCCAAGCCTGCACTGAGTGCCAGGGGCTGCTGGGGTTTGTGTGCAGGACTCCTGACCCACCCCCAGGGGCCACGCCGTGGCCAGCCCCTCACTCTGTCCCTGTCCCGTGCTGCTGCTCTGCCCGGGGGTCTGCGGGGGGGCTGCCCTGGCGCTGGTTGGGATTTCTGGGTACCCTCTCATGCAGTCCATGGCCACATCACGGGCTCCAGGGACTGTCCCCATGGCTCCCCATTGTACGTGGGGGCTGGGGGTGCTGGCTCTGTCCCCCGTGGGACGCTGCTCGGCTTCTCCAAAAACCGGGGGGACAGAGCATCCCAGGCGGAGCAGGCTGAGCATCCCCGCCGGCCGTGCCCGCGATGGCAGCAGGGGCTCTGGCACCCGCGGGGCCGGGAGCCGGCTGGCACCTCGCAGGTTAACTGTGAGCGGCGGATTCCCTTATTGACAGGGTAGCTTGAAAAACGCTGAGGCAGACCTCGGCTCCTCGGAGTGTCAGCGGGAGCCCACGCTGCCGCGGCCCCAGCGCCCAGCCCGGTCCCGGACCCTCCCCAGCTCACCCCCGGGGCTGGCGTCCCTCACACGCTCGCCCTTCCCTTTGGTCCTCGAAGACGCTGGAGAGGATTCAATTTTTTTCTTCCTCCCCATTTTCCCGGGGGTGGATAAGGCGCTGCCCAAGGTGCTGCCCCGGTGCCGCCCGGCCGCTGCCCTGCCCCAGCAGCGTGCCGGGGGCTGCACGCCGGCTCGGAGCCCGCCGGGGACGGAGGCGAGCGAGCTCCGGGAGCACCGGCAGCACCGGGAGCACCGGCCCTCGGCGCCGGAGTCGGACAGCCGACGGGCACAGAGCAGCCCGGAGGAGCGGGGCCGGTGCAGCCGCGTCGGGAGCAGCTCCCATCGCCGTCCCATCGCCCTCCCAGGCAGCCCCGCCGAGCCCCTCAGCCCGCCGCTCACACGATGATGTATTTTTGGGTAGGTACCGCTGCCAAGGGTGGGCGCTGTCCTCCCCGTCTGCTGAGGTTTCGCTCAGGATCGGGGTGGTTTTGCACTCCCGGGCTCCAGGGAGAGCTTCCCCCGTGGTCAGGCACTCTCTGCCCGGGCTGGCAGCAGCGGGCAGGGCTGCAGGGCTGGGGACGGGCCCAGGGAAGGAGCAGGGCAGCGGGCAGGGGTCCCTGCCTGGGCACCCCCAGCTGCCCTCCTGCTTCTGCACCGCCCTGTCCAAGCTCCGTGCTGTGCTGCCTGCCCTGGCAGTACCAAACCCTTGCCCCAGCTGTGCTGTGGTGGTCACTGGTGGGCTCTGGCTGTCCTGGGAGGGGACACGGCTCTGTGGTGACAGTGGGACATTCAGGTGATGGCTCTGTGCAGAGCAGCAGCCCCCTCTCACGGTGCCCACCCAGGATCTTGGCAGATGCTGGTGGGACAGCCCCCACATTTTATCCCAGGCCTGAAATTCCTGAGGCTACTGAGGGGAGCCTACCATGGGACGCTGTGGTCCCCTTGTGGACCCCAAAGTCCCTCCACAGCAGTCTCTGCTCAGGGGTTCTGAGGCTTGAGGGGATGCCCAGAGCGAGGGGCATTGCTGGGGAGTGGGCTGGGCACGGGGGCTCAGCTCTCCCTGCTCTAGCAGGGCACAAGGCCATGGCTGGAGGGGGGACAGGCTGACAGGCTGACACCTACCCAAACATCTCAGAGCTTGGTGCAGTGATGGAGAGGAGGGGACAGGGTCTGTCCAGGCACTTTGCTTGAGGCTGGACACTGAGTGTGGGTGTGAGCCCCAGTCTGGGTGCAGCTGAGGCAGTGATCAGAGCAGAGCCAGCAGTGCCCCATGGAGCTCCACTCCCTCCCCAGAGCTGCAGGAGCTGGGCTGTATCAGGCTCTGCGCTACCCCAGGGTCTTCCCATGGCATCCCAGCCTACCAGCTGGGGCTGCAAGCCAGTGGCACCTGCTCCTTCCACCTGCTCCCTCAGAGGTGGCAAGGGGCAGCAGCACTCTGCTGGGGCTTACAGGCTCCAGGGAGTTGTGTGCTCTCCTGGATTTGGGAGCAGGGGACAGAGTGGGCAGAGGCAGGCAAAGGGAGGAGGAGCATACTGCGAATTCATTGTTCCTCAGGAAGCAGCTTTCAGGTGTAAGGTGCTTTGTCATGAGGGATGTCGGCGCTGCCACGGCTCCAGCCCTGTCAGGGCTGGCACAGCCTCCTGCCTCGGTGCTAATTCTGCCCAGGGACTGAACCCCACCGCAGCTGGAGAGCAGAGCAGAGCTGTGTGGCTCTGCAGGGCTGGGCTGAGCAGGCACGGGTGGCATGGGGTGCCCGTTCCCACGGGGCACAGCGTCCCACACCGCCCTGGCTGTGGGGCAGTGGCACTCCAGGCTCTCTGTTCCCTGTCCTGTGTGGCACACAGAGCCAGTCACCCCGGGACAGCTGGTCCCAGCCCTGCGTGGTGGCATCCCCAGCTGTGCTGGAGGGGCAGGGCGAGGGCTGTGCTCCCGGCAGAGCAGTGAGCTTTGTCACTTCTCGGCATCGTGGGCGTCTCTCCATTGCAGCGTGGGAGGAAGCAGAGGGTCTGGTACCCCTGAGTGACAGGAGAGCTCTGGTGGCTCAGTCATCATCACCTCAACGGGCTGAGATGCTAAAGCAAAATGCCTTCAAACAAAGTAATTGCAGAGAAATTAAGTGTGTGGGGGGCAAGGGGAAGAGGGGGTCTCTAAATGCTACAATTTATAAAGTGTGCCCTGGGTCACAGCACCTGTTTAGCACTAACATCCTCTCTGTGCATTTAAAAGAATCTTATTATGAGGATGGAGTGTTTACTTCTGGAGTACCTCCAGCCTGGTGTTCCCCTGTGCCCACCTCACCTGTCTGCTGCTCAGGTGGGTCCCAGCCCAGTGCCACTGCCCACACTGGCAGTGCCACACGCACCCCTGCTTGGGGTGGCTTGGACCCCTCCTGTTGTGTGCCATGTGCTGGCACCTTGGGGGCTGCTGCTGAAGACCCCAGCAGCCTTTGAAGC